ATGAGCTGGTTAAAATCTCCAGTCAAAGTAATGACATTCTCGGGTGTGTTGGCGGTGATATTTAATGATATTGGCACCACCGATGTAACCTTTCCATTGACACCGGCTCCTAGTGCACTCCATTTATTCTGCGTGATATCATAGGCGGCGATATTGTTCAAACCTGCAGTAGTCGTTGAGCCAGAATTACTACTGAAGTTTCCTGCAACGTATAGGGTTGAGTCTTCAAGGAGCATAGTGAGGACCTCTCCGTTTAATCCTCTGGAATCTAATGAGCTAGGACCCGAGTCTGAAATTGAGAATACGTTTTCGTATCCTGTGGCGGAGAAATTGCCACCAACGAAAGTAGTGTCGCCAGAAGTTACAACAACATTGACCTCAGCACCGGTATTGAGTTTCATACCAGCTTGATCGATCGTATTATTCTGGAAATCGGAAGTGTTGATGACGCTCTGGCTTGGATCGAATTCGAAAAGACCGTTTAATCCTGTGCTAGTTGCATTGTTCAAGATGAATCCAACTCGCTGAGCTACAATGGTAAAATTCTCGGAATTTCCAGGAATCTGACCACTTGGAGTGAGGGTGATTGAAGGACGGAAGGTATCACTAGCAGCTTCGATGTAACCAGAGTATACTTGATCATACTTGTCGTAGTCATTAGATTGGAAGAGGGTAATGGGCGAGCCGAAGGTTGCGGAAGTACTAGAAGCGCCACTAGCCACACTTCCATTTACAACAACAGAGCCTCTGCTGGTACATGTACTATCCTGAATACATCCAGGGGTGTACATTTTCACTGTATAGTTGCCCGACTCTCTGATATCAGGGTAGAATACCACAGAAGCTGAGCTTGCTGTATCTGCTGTAAATCTTCCTGTGAGGTACTCTGCATCACTTTGAAATGAGGGACTGATGGTCCAAGGACCGGTCGATGTTGTGTTTGAAGCAGTTGATAAAGAAGCACAGGTAGGCTCATTGAAATCGTTAATAGCATAGGAAAAGATATCATCCTGGAACAACTCAATACCATTCAGGCCACCTCCACTGCCGTACCAAGCAGAGACATCAATCTGAAAGGCATCCATGCCAACTGAATTCACAAAGTGAAAGTCCTGGTATGGAATACTAGCATTGTTGCTCAAAGGGCATTCCGATGTGCATGTTGCGTTAGCACCTGTAGCTGGATCGATGTAAGTAAAGTTCATGATACCATTGATTGGCTGAGCTGTATATCTCCACGTTTTGGTACCCCGTCCGTCTTGGTGGGTATTCCATAATCTCAACTTGGTAGGCTGAAAACCAAAGCCAAACGTAGCTTTCCACCACCCAGCAGTATCATCTTTCAATAACCAAGTATTTCCAGAGCCATCAATGCCATTAGTCTTGCAAACAATGTTTGTTGGATCGTCAAAGCCTGTAGTGGTGGCTGTGCCACTGCTTGTGATGTTGGCGCCAGAAATATTGACAATTTGCTGATCAGTTGCATTACTAGGTTTGCTTGTAATTGTTGCAGTAGAATTTCCAAGTCCTGTGAACGTTCCCCCAAAGATGATATTTCCGTTCGACGCCTTCGAGATCGAATTGACCCGACCGTTAAATCCAGAGAAAGGTAGGGCGACCAAGGTATTGTCCACCAACTTGATTACATTTGAAGAATTTGTCGAATCGAAATAACCCCCAATGTAGACTGCGTTTGTCTTCTCGTCGCATAAGAGTGCCGAAACTGACCCTGATAATCCAGGGAGTGCAGTGATTGCCGATGTATTTGAATTGAATAATGCAATACCTTGCGATTCCACATTTCCTAAGCTCGTAAAGTTACCTCCAATTACTACCCCCACGAGTGTCCCATCCGATTTAACGTACGGACACATGGCTGCGATTGAAGCGTCGGCCGATGCCAAGGAATCGAATTCACCCGTTGGAAAGCGTACCATGACGGATTGGGTCGTAGTATTGTAGCCATCTTCATTTTGACCAGCGTATTTATATAAGGAAATGCCATCAAAATCTCCACCCAGTCCTACACGTCCTAAGTTCGAAAGATCGAGGTTGGCGGAAGGAGCCGGTTGGAAAGTGATCGCATGCGTTAACGGCGTCCAGGTCAATAGAGAAGAGAAGGCTATTATAGATGGCGAATTCCTCGCTGATGGACTCAGCCATGATGAGAACCTCATTGCTGTTCCCCTCTGAAAAGTATTAATAAGTAATTATTCGTGTCGCAAAAATTGAGAGAATTAAAAGCTCGATGGCTTCTCCTCCTCCACTTTCGTGAATAATTGCATTGACTTGACGCGCAACGCTTAAGCCATTTAATTGCCCTCCAGTATGGTGTATAAATCGATGGAAGATTCTTCGTTCGTGGATATATTAGAGAATGGATATTCCGTCTATCGAAGCATATAACGAGCGTAGAGTTGTGTTGTGTTGTGTTGTGTTGGTGTTCAAGGTGGAATGGAGTCGAAGGAATCTAAAGTGATAGACAGTAATCTCACTCACAGACAGAAAAGGTAAAAGTCGACTTGATTGGACGGGACTAGATTCGCGTATTGGGCTAATGAGAGAGATTAAGTATGGGATTAACTTTTTTTTTGTACCAGCTTTGTGAATGGTGAGCCTCGGGTGTTCAGGAACCAGGAATCAATTTCAAACTAATAAACGGGCGGTTACTGTTAGGATAATCCTCCTTGGGTCGTTGATGAATTAATTTCTCTGCAAGATTGTGCGTGAAAATTCAAGAGATCAGTCTGTAAGGGAGACGGGTGATCTATCAAACTTTTGGTTCTTTCTTTTTCTGAATGATGTTATGTGGTTGGTGGCATATGTAGTAGGTATTATTATCGCTCGATTGGATTGCGCAGTCTGTGAAACTAGTTGCAAGTTTGGTGGAGTGTTGTCTTGGGGCCGAATTGCTGTTTAAAGGATGCCAAGCGGGATTGAGATTGGTTGTTCCAATTCAAGGCGGATTGAAGGCGGATTTGAATCCAATGGTGGGTGAATCTGGTGGGTGAGATGGGTGGATGATACGAGAACGGTTAAAAACGTTAAAAAGAAAGGTGTAATGGATGAATACAGTTACGATCGACTGTGTGTATACGGGAGGGTGTGAGTGTGAGTGTGAGTGTGTTGTGTGTATGTGAAGTGAATGTTGAAAAATGAGTGTATGGTTGACGATGAATTGATGGAACTTGATACGTGAGATACGTGAGATACGTGAGATTCTGTTGTGCTTCAAAAAACGAAGAAGAGAGAGAAGTTAGTTATGTTGTACTTCTCCCATCTCCATGTCGGACCCTGGTTCTCGGTCTATCTTTTTCCTTTTCTCTTGCATATGTGAATGTGAATCGACCGCAGCACTGCATTTTGGGGCAAACGGGCAGGGCAGGGAGGGCATAAACAGGGGCAGAAATTGTGACACGTACCGGTATTGTACAATGTTTGGGCAGCCAGCAGTGACAGGACGAGATCAAGAACAACAAAGAGATCGATTGATTGATTGATTCAAAACACGACACACGAGAAAAAGGGTTTCTGATAAGAAAAGAGCGTGTTTCTGATTTGCAGAAGGAGAAAAAACGAGTGACGAGAAAAGTGAGTGTGGGTGTGGGTGTGGGTGTGAGTGAGTGTGAGTGTGAGTGTGTATGTGTGTAAGTGGACGGAGTATAGAAATTGAAAGATGCGACTTTTTCTAATGGTTGGTACAAATTAGGAGTAGAAGGACATTTTGGGAATGGTGGGAATGGTGGGCGGACGAGGAGACGAGAAGATGAGGAGACGAGAGAGATGGATGAATGAGCACAGAAGAGTCTGATGAATGAATGAATGGCGTGGATGCTGAGCAGAGCACTTATTATTACTAGGTAGGTACCTCATTACTTGACATTTTCGGACGATGATGAAACCATCAAGGCACATCCCATCTCTCGACTTTCCCAAACGGGATGCAAATACGACTCGATTAAGCTTTTGCTTTTGATTTATTGGATTGATTTGATTCTTAATATCGTATAATGAATGAGATGGAGTACCTGGGTACGAAGTCCATACACCGGTGCATCGTAAATACCAAGAGCTATGAATAGAATGATAAATCATCACCATTTATCACGATATGCAACATTGAATTCGTGAGAGAAACATTTATTAATTGCGGCAGCATGAATCGAGGTACTGTGCGATACTGATACTGTACGATACTCCATGGTAAGATCGTAACATCACGTGGAAATCTGTATCATGTTTATGTTTGCTACCAAGGCACGTGCTAGGCATGCAGCACTTCTGCTAGTACCTACCTACCTACACATTATGTTATGCTGTGCAGTAGTACGATCTTACATTCTTCCCTTTTTCTTCTTATTATTAGTCAGGTAACAGGTTGCTATGGCTCGCTTCATAGGAATGGAATGCGGGAATCTGAATCCCTTTCTCTTCCTACCCAGCAACCAAATAGATCCCAACGAGCCAACTTCTCAAACATCAATAGATACCTAGGTAGGTATACAAAACAGTCTCCAATGCTTGTAACAAACATGGCTTGCCTGAGGATAAATACTTCTTGAATGATACCCACCTACTACCTACGACCTACGACCTACGACCTACGCATGAAGAAACTTATGATGGTTCAGGTTCATCCCTTCCCAATAAATCATCCTTTCAAATTAAATGTCATGTACGATACTCCGTAGCTACTAGGTATTTATTTCAACCTTTCCCTTGGTTCCGTCAATCATTCATTCCATTAATCATTTTACCCCTTTAAAAGATCATTCTACAATATCCATCTCAACATCTATATCAACATTCTACTATTAATAATAATGATGATAATAACAATAACAATAATAACATGCCATTCTTCAAATCGAAATACCAGGACTCAATTTTCACGCATTCATTCATCTTCTCAATAAACAATGAATAAACAATATACGGGGTATCTATAATAATCCATCATGCTTCTTCCTTCATTCCCTCCCCTCCCCTCCCTCCCTCATTCATTTCATCATATTCGCTGCATTCGCCGTGCGGGTCTTGTAATCTCTCGGGCTTTCGTAATCCTTTTTCTTCCCCGACCACATACCCAATTTCTTCCTCTTGGCCTCTTCTTCAATCGCCCGATACTGTGCCTCAAAGTCTCCAAATTCCGCTCCCATCTTCGCCTCATACACCGTAGCCATGCCCGCCCTCAACATCTCCCTTCCCACATCCTTGCGCACGAGAAATCGCCGCACCCACACCGTAGCCACCACCCGATCATACTGGTCGCGTTTATAGATGTACGCGCGCACCCGCCGATTTTGAATATACTCCCGCAGCCAGATCAGCGCTTCGCCGGAAAAGGGCTGCGCCGTTTTCCCAAAATGCGCCCCTTCGGGTGCGTCGACGCCGGCGATTCGAACGTGGATCTGCGGGGGATGGATTAGCCCGTGGAAAAGCTGATACGCCAACACTAAAGCGTGTGCATCCTACCGTCTTGTTCTTCAAATCCTTTCCCTCGGGTAACTTCTTGCGGCCGGGCATCCATCCCCAGCCTGCCAGTCTCCCACCAGGCGTGTGGAACAGGTGAAAATTATCCGCATCGCCCACTCTCGTGACCGTGCCAAATAAACTCCTCTTCCTGAAGAATCCGGGTCGAATGTACGTAGCTTCGGGAATGCGACGTAAATAGGAGCGATAGAAGCGCGTGGAAACCAAAATGGTAGTGGTCAACAAAATGGTCGGTATCAAAGTTCGCGGATCCGTGTAATGCTGCCAGTCCGTCGCATTGAGATTATCGCCCCATGAGAAGGAGGACCGAGTGGCATTTTTTTCTTCCTTCTTGGATTTTGATGAAAAATCTAGCCATCCCATAGTGTCGGCGGGCAGTACCAGTCTGGAAATGATGTGGAAGTGGGGAGGTTGCTGCTGCTCAATGCTGAGACAGGGGTCATTTTATGATCCGAGCTTCGGGGAAAAAAAGTGACATTGATATTCAAACAAACAAACAAACACGCAAAAAGATATCAGATGAAAGACCATCGTGAGCTAGAAGACGACTTTGGAAATGTCCAAGAGCTTCTGAAACAACGAGTTGATAATTAGACTGTGTTTATGTGTGCTGAATTTCTATAGCAGAGTTCCTTAATCTAATGAAAAGTATCTGTGTCCAATTTGATATAGTTTACATTTATTGTACAAATTATACAGCTTCCGAATGCTTATAATTTCCTCCTCTTCGCTCTGACACTTCTTGCCGATGGCTCAAACACTTTTACCTCATCCTTGATTTCGAGTTCCTCCGTGACACCTTCGCACTTAATCACCACTTTCCCTTCTTCTTCTTTCAAATCCATCTCTTCTGGTGGATACTCTCGCTTGACTGCTACTTTCTTCTCCAGAACATCCCCATTCTCCTGCTTGATCTCGAGCTCATCAACTTTAACTTCGACCTTGCTGACAAGTTTATCAGAAAATGCTTTCAAATCCGCCGCGAACAAGACCGAGTGCGCCCAGCCAGCCTCTTTACCCCACAGCGCTCTAAAATGATCACCAATTGCATCGTATGTAGCTTTAGTAAGACTCTTATGTTTTCCTTTTCCAAACTTGTAGTCCCTTTGAGCAATTTGCCAAACGTGCGTGTCCACAGGAACCGCCTCTCCCCACCCCAAGCCCATCAAGCAAACGCAGTCAGCTACTTTGGGACCAACACCTTGAAGCTCGAGAAGCTCTTCATGTGCTTTTCTATACCCAGGACGTCCTCCTGCTGGAAGTTCCCCTTCAAAGGGCTTGTCAAAAGTCTCTGGATTGCGAAGATTTTCGAGCCAGCCTTTTGGCTTCGATGCCACAATTGATGCTGTTTGAGCAATGTACTTTGCTCGATACCCAAAGCCTAGAACGCGGAGATGTGATTCTACTCCAGAACCAGTTAAGGCTTCGGGTTGTGGGAAGTCATGGAATGGTTGATCATCAATATGTCCTATTAGGGGACCATAATGTAAACACAAATTGTTGACCTAAACCAGAGTGATTAATAAGATCATCGAAGTCCTGAGATCAGAAACATACCATTTGAGAAATCCTTATAATATTGTTGTTGCTGCTGCAAATAAAACCCACCAAAGCCTCCCAAGCATCTTGTTTGAGAATGCGAACTCCTGTAAACTTAGGTGCTCTTTTCTTGAAATTTGGATCGACCAAAGACCATTGTTCATACAACTGAGTCAAGTTTGGTGAAAGGTTCAAGTAATGCCGAAGTAAAGATTCTGTGTCATCCTCGTCTTCAAGCTTTTCCTTCTTCACTAAAGGCTGATGATTCGAAGGAACTTTGATCTCAGGAAATATTGTACGATAGTGAAGATGAGTTGAGTCTTGTTTGAGAGATATTATACGACCATGTAGTGTACAAGACCTATTCAAGATTAACCCCCTTTCTTTCGACTACAGTACAAGAAAGAGAGTCACGTACCAATAATCTTCATCTACAGCTTTCTTCCATCGAAAAGATTGCCCACAACGTAATGTAGTATCTATACAAAGCTCTGCCAAATTCACTGGAAGCTTCTTCCATTCTGAGATCTTTAAATTCCCCATTGTGAAAAAGCGATTGTGATTTCATGTGGGTTGGGTGAAATCCACCTTGGCGCGCTTTACAGGAACAACGTTTCTAATCTTAGCGCGAAATTCGAATGAGATTCGCGACAGCTTCTACAAAAATTCCGCCTCGGGTTTGAGCTTGTCTATCAACCACAATCACAATCGCACGTCTTCATTTTTTTCCCGAAAAATATATTCTGGATCGCAATTAACAATATGAACGGCGATACTTATTCATCAAGAGGCATGGCACCTTCAACGACAAAACCTAAAAGGGAAGATGGAGCTACTACTGACAAGAAAGCATCAACAGATCGACATGGTTCGTCTAGAGATTATCATGTAAGAATGTTTCATCAATTATTTCAAGGTCAATTTATCTAACATGTGGAAAATAAAGTCCCGAGATGATCGACGTGGTGGTGATAGAGATCGAAGACGCTCGCGCTCTCCAGGACATCGAGGCTCCAGAAATTCTCGCCGCGATGGAGAATTAGATTCACGGGGTGCGGATTCTTACTCAACGAGTCGCGAATACAGAGAGCGGGAACGTGAAGATAGGTATTCGGGCAGGGAAAGAAGAGGTGGTGGTGGCGAGAGAGAGTGGGATAGAGATCGTGGAGCAGCAAGACGAGATGCTAGAAGGGACGATGATGAAAGACCGCCGCGCAGAGACAACAGAGATTTATTCGACGATAGACGTGGTGGCGGAGGTGGCAGAAGGGGTGGTGATCGAGGCGACCGAAGAGATCGGGGAGATCGTGGAGATGCCGACGGAGGATTCGCAGCTCAACGAGCCGCAAAGCGAGACAAGAGTCCAACACCTCCACCAAAGAAGAGAGAGCCCACACCAGATTTGACGGATGTTGTATCAGTTTTGGAGCGCAAGAGGAGATTGACACAATGGGATATCAAACCGCCAGGATATGAGAATGTTACTGCTGAGCAAGCTAAACTTTCGGGCATGTTCCCACTTCCAGGTGCACCACGACAACAACCCATGGATCCAAGCAAGCTACAAGCTTTCATGGCACAACCCAGTGGACAAGTCACTAATGCAGCTCTCAAACCTTCAAACTCCAGACAATCAAAACGTCTCCTCGTTCATAACATTCCTGCTGATACTAAGGAAGAGACTATTGTTAGTTTCTTCAATCTTCAGCTTAATGGATTGAATGTTATAGAGGGTTCTGATCCTTTAATCTCAGCACAAGTTTCGAAAGATGGCTCATTTGCTTTACTTGAATTCAAAACACAATCTGATGCTACGGTTGCTTTAGCATTGGATGGAATCACCATGGATGGCAATGACCATATGGAAACAGGAAATGGCTCCGCTGATACCCGAGGTCTTTCCATTCGTCGCCCAAAAGATTACATTGTACCAGCAGTTACTGATGAAACACCATTCGAGCCAGGTGTGATTTCTAATGTTGTAGCTGATACTCAAAACAAGATCAGTGTTACTAATATTCCTCACTATTTGAATGATGAGCAAGTTACAGAGCTATTAGTTTCTTTTGGAGAGTTGAAGGCTTTCGTATTGGTCAAAGATAGCAATACAGATGAATCACGAGTAAGTTTACCATTACATGTTCTTAACCAGATACTAACATGGTTTAGGGAATCGCTTTTTGTGAATATGTGGATCCTGCTGCAACGGATATTGCTGTTGAGGGTCTTAATGGTATGGAGCTTGGTGATAAGCATCTCAAAGTTCAGAGAGCTAGCATTGGTAACACCCAAGTATCTGGTTTGGAGATGAGCGTCAATGCTATGTCTATGCTTGCTGGTACCACATCACAGGATCTCGAAAATGGCAGAGTATTACAATTGCTCAACATGGTTACTCCTGAAGAACTCATTGATAATGAAGATTACGAGGGTAAGTTTTAAACATTTATCTATTCGAATATTTACTGATTAATCCCTTAGAAATCTGCGAAGATGTAAAGGAAGAATGCGAGAAATATGGCAAGGTTCTGGAAATGAAAGTCCCAAGACCAACTGGTGGCAGTAGACAATCAACTGGAGTTGGTAAGATCTTTGTGAAGTTTGACACACCAGAATCAGCAGGAAAGGCTCTCAAGGCCCTCGCGGGTAGGAAATTCGCAGATCGTACTGTCGTTACTACATACTTCCCAGAGGTAATTCTGCACTCCTTTCTTTTTCACTCAAGACCTTGCTAACCCTCACCAAGGAAAATTTCGAAGTCAGCGCCTGGTAGATAGTTCATCAACATACCGAAATCATCACCACGATCCTTTGTCCAGGTCCTTACTTATCTCCCTAGTACTCATTACTCACAAACTGATGTGATGTAATTCCAAAACTCATTTTCAAAGCGAAGTTTTTCTTCCTCGTCACACAAAATACTACACCTTCTGTACTTTTAGCATCATAGCATCCATCCATTGGCGATTTTTCTTTTAGTATTCTCACTGTCACTGTTTCAAAAAAGTAGCAGGATCGATAGGAGTCTTCATATGACTCGAGAAAAGCAAATTAGTTTACTACCTACCTACCTACCTACCTACCTACAGTTTACCATAAGGTTATTTTGTTTTCGATTTTAACTGATTGATTGTCTCTCGCGAGATATATAAATACCTATTTAGCTTTAGCGTGAATTTCGATTATGATGTGTTATTAATGAAATGGGGCGTGGGGGAGGGGGGGGGGGAAGGGGGAGTATGTATGTATGTAGGTATGCTTTTTGTTGATAATGATGATGAGGTTGTTGAAATTGAAATTGAGATTTGAGATTTGAAGATTGAGATTTGAGATTTTGAGATTTGAGATTGAGATTTGAGATTTGAGATTTTGAGATTTAATATTGAAGTTAAAATCGACTTTATTAATCAGCGTTTATGATTATAAGATTGGTATATTAATATAAGATAATAATAAATGTAAATGTATAGTATATGTAGAGCGATAGTATATGATTAGGTTATATTATATGTATAATGTATATGTATAGGTATAGGTATAAGGTAAGATGTATATGTATATGTATATGGTATATGTATATGTCTATGTTATATGTCTATGAAGATGTATATGTAGATTTAATAGTTTATAAATAAATACATGAGTGAGTAAGGGAAGGAGGAAGGAAGGGATATCGAAATGTTAAGACTTTGTACTAGTATTTTACTTATACTTTATTTGAGTTTGAGATGAGGTTTGAGTTGAGATTGAAGGTTTGAGCTGGAATAATAGATGGTATATGATATAAGTATTGCATCTATGATATATAATATATAATATCTTAT